GGCCTGGAACGATTATGTTCCTGGAACACGTCCTCGACTCCACCCGGGCAACTCTAGCCCTGTGCCTTCCTGAATCGTGCCCGATAGAGGAGGAAATCCTGCAAGAGGTATCAGCAGCCCACAGCACATCTCGTTTTCCCCATGGCCACAGGCAAAGCCTTGTCCCCAACCTTGGGAGACAGAGGAAACAGAAGAGGCCCTGCTCTCTTGCTGCATGAGGAGCTGCCACGCAGGCTGCGTGACAGTGACGCTGCACAGTGACTCTGTCACCCAAAAGGCTCATGAGAGAGCCAGTCCCAACACAGAGCAGTAAGCACATTCACACGACTGTCTTGGCTGAAATTGTCACAGCTCAAAAGCTGAGAGACGCATTCAAAAAGAACTCTAGGGACCTTCAGTCAAACCGAAAAGCTCCTGACCACTGGAGCGCCATGTTACTCTGGGTGTTGTCACCATGATGAAGTCCCCGAGGCCACTGCTGTCAGAAGAAAGACTTATTTTGGCTGGTGATTATGGAGATCAAGGCTGAGGGGGTCTTATCTGGTGATAATCTTCTTGCTGGCTGAGTCCCAGGGTGGCACATGGCATCACATGAGGAGAGACAGAGACACGCATGTGTCTGTATGTCTGCCTGATATTTCTCTCTCTCTCTCTCTCTCTCTCTCTCTCTCTCTCTCTCTCTCTCTCCCTCTCTCACAAAGCCCCCCTCTAAACACCATGGTTGAATTACGTCTTTATCCCCGAAACTTCACAGTAAGGATTTAATTTCATCATGAGTTCAAGGATCAAACTGTATTCAAACCACAGCAGTGACAGGTGGACATGCCTTGGTCAGGAAGGAAGCCACCGTTGACCTGGAGATGTCCCACGCTGGACTGGGTGGTGACATGACCATAGTACCCAGGGCTGAAGGAGAGGCTCCCAGACTTCCAGGTAAAGCAGGGACATCCCAGCCTCAAAGCAGAAGTGGGTCCACCTTATAGAACAGAGCCGCGGTCTCTCTGAGTTGGCCTGGCCGCGTGCTCCATTTGTCCCTTACTCTGGGATCACAAAGGGGTCTGAGTGTCTGACAATGGCCATCTTCCACAGACCGGGATCCTCCTTAGCAGTTCAGTCTCACTGGTGTTCAATCCTAACACAGCGCGGGAACAAAATTAGACCCCAACTGTATGCATCTACCCGCTTGGCATTTTGAGTTTGCTGAAAAATTGTTCAAAACCAGAAGTCCAGAGGGAGAAGGTACAAGGCCAGCAGTCTCTGAAGACACGCCAACGGGCTCTGCTCTGGACCTGGCGGGACGCGAACTCGCGTGACACACAAACTTCCGTAAATCAGCAGAAAATGTGGTATCTATACACAATGGAATTTTATGCAGCCATGAAGAAGAATGAAATGTTATCATTCGCTGGTAAATGGATGGAATTGGAGAACATCATTCTGAGTGAGGTTAGCCTGGCCCAAAAGACCAAAAATCGTATGTTCTCCCTCATATGTGGACATTAGATCAAGGGCAAACACAACAAGGGGATTGGACTATGAGCACATGATAAAAGCGAGAGCACACAAGGGAGGGGTGAGGATAGGTAAGACACCTAAAAAACTAGCTAGCATTTGTTGCCCTTAATGCAGAGAAACTAAAGCAGATACCTTAAAGCAACTGAGGCCAATAGGAAAAGGGGACCAGGAACTAGAGAAAAGGTTAGATTAAAAAGAATTAACCTAGAAGGTAACACCCACGCACAGGAAATCAATGTGAGTCAATGCCCTGTACAGCTATCCTTATCTCAACCAGCAAAAACCCTTGTTCCTTCCTATTATTGCTTATACTCTCTCTACAACAAAATTAGAGATAAGGGCAAAATAGTTTCTGCTGGGTATTGAGGGGGGGAGCGGGAGGGGGTGGAGTGGGTGGTAAGGGAGGGGGTGGGGGCAGGGGGGAGAAATAAACCAAGCCTTGTATGCACATATGAATAATAAAAGAAAAATGAAAAAAAAAAAAAAATCAGCGCGACATGTCACTGGAAGTACGTGACTACGGTACCCGACAATGATGTCTTCAAAATCAAGACAGGACAATGATGCACCCTTTATCTGCTTCAGAGAAAGCAAACTGTCTGCCATTGATTGCGCCCGTAAACAGTTTCCACCTTTCAAGGACAATGGCTGGAGGAGAAAGTCACATGCACAAGTGACGTCGAGGCAGAGGTGCCAGCGCTCGGCCCCTTTTCTCAAATGATAACCCAGGCCATGGGGACCTGGGGTGGGGGAGGAGGGGTCACACGGGCTAGCCACAAAAAGGAATAGAGATGCTGAAATAAAGAAATCCATGTTGCCTTAAGTATAATTTGTGGTAGTTACATTTCACTTCCTAATTTATACATAGCAGGGTTGATAAAGAATTACATTATAACAAAATTAGCCAGAATAATTAGCACAGCATACATGGCGCTGATTAAACACCCAGCAGCTAGCGTGGTAATTAAGATCAGCATGTGCCATATTTTGAGGTTTTTGTCATCTTATTATCTGCCTAACAAGTGCTCCGACTTCACCTCCCTTCTGATTTGGAGTTTGATAGCAGTCTGTAATAATGCTCGTTGCATTTCTTTAAATCTATCTTATGCCAATTCTGATTGCTTTCCTGTGGTCACTACCCTCTCTCGCTATGTGTTTACAAAAATGTGCTAAATTTCTTCTGAAATGTAAACCATTTGCCTTGAGAGTTCAAGCTCAAAACTCTCTTTCAAAGTCCTATGTCTTTGGCCGAAGAGACAACCAGAGGCCAGCCAGGCATGGTGGTTCATGTCTGTAATCCCAGCACTGGGGAGGCTGAGGCAGGAGGATGGCAAGTTCCAGGGTATCCCTGCAGTTTGGTCAGCTGTCTAAACTGAAGAAAGACCACTGGTGTCACATGTCTTTCCTGGGCAGTGTCCACTGCCAGCAATTCACATGTCATCCTCCAGGCCATTTCTCTGCATTGGAGACACTGGAAGGTGTAGTCGAGTGGCTCCTGATGAGCCTGGTGGTGGTGCCTCCTGCACCTGGGGAGCCTGGGGTCTGCTGCTGTCTTTGCAAAATCCACTGTGGCTCTATGGCCGGAAGCAGGGGGTCACTGTTACCAAAGAACAGAGGTTTGGGGACTCACCACATCCTTCATTGCTGCCAGAATCCTTCATGCTGCATCTTGGACAAAAGCAAGACATTTCCCTGATTTAAAGGCAGAGTGAACCATCCCAGCATCAGCCAGGAATGCCTTCAGCTGCAACTAACAGAAAATATACAATCAGTGCTTGTGGAATAAAGATAAAAACTGTCATCAAGAGCCAGTCTTCTCCTCTCTTCCTAGTCCACTCCTATTCATGTCTGTTGCCTCGTGGCTCTAATATGGCTGCCATAGCTCCATCATGTTCATGTTCAAGGAAAGAAAAAAGAAAAAAGGAGACAATAGCCATTTTTTCGGTCAAGAAAGCAGGTAGTCTCCCAGCATCCCAGAACAGACCATGCCGGCTCTCTCTGTCCAGAACCAGGTCACAAGGGAGACTGGGCATCAAGTAGCCAATAATGGAGATGCTATTACCGACTTGAACCAACAGGACTCACCCCCAGGGGCTGGGTACATTGCCAGAGTTGAGAAGTCCAAGCTTTGCTGGGTAGGGGAAGAAGAACGAACACAGGGCTGGAACTACAGTGTCTGGCACCTCAAAGGCAGGTGGAACAGAACCTGCAAAGTCACACAGAGGGGCTGAGTGCATCAGTCAGGGAAGTTCCCCAGTAGGACCTGGAGTGGGGAGAAGGCTGCAGTGAGACTTGGTAAGTCACAAGTCTGTGGCTGGCAGGTGAGGCCAGTGGAGCCTGCAACTGGAAACCGAAGACAGTCTGCTGGCTGCAGAGTCTCTTCAGGCCTTTCCCTGGTTGAGTGAGGCCCACCCACAGTGTGCTTTGCTCAGAACCCACTGGCTTTGATTTTAATTGCACCCCAAAACCACCTTCTCAAAAGCCTACAGAATTCCATATGACCAAGGATCTAGGCACCTTGGCCCCACAAGTTTACAAGGGAAGAGAGAAGGGAAGGAGGGAAAAGATCCCTGCAGAGCCCACAGCACACTTGGTGTTCACAAGAAATGATGAGGACAGCCAGGAATAACTGGAGATGGAGTGGATGTGAGAAAAGCGATCCCCCCGGAGAAGAAGGGTTCAGGGGACCCACAAGAGGTGTGAGGGCCTTGCACTCCCTCGGGCCCTGGCTGACACCAAGTATAGCAGACTTGAGGGTGGGGAGGCTGCAGCTAGCACTTGGGTTCTTAGGGCTCACTACGTGATGCTTCGGTCTTCCTGGACCGGCCAGCCCATGCCTGGGCCGGGAAAGCAAAGACTCTTCCACGCCTGTGCCAGGAGTTGACAAGTGGGGTGCGAAACACAGAAAACACTCCTTTTACTTCACAAGGGCTGAACCCCTGCTGGGGGACAAGCCTCCAAGGTCCCAGGGTAAAGCCTCGCCTTGACTTTTTTCTTGCCAGTACCTCACTTTTTGCTCAGACTGGCATCGACCGTGATCCTCCTACTTCCCACTGTTGCTGGGATGGCAGATGTGTGCCACCTCACCCAGCTATTGGTTGAGATGAGGGTCTCCCAAAGTTTTTGCCCAGGCTGGTCTCAAACTGCAATCCTCCTGATCTCAGCCTCCCAAGTAGCTAGGGTTACAGGCGTGAGCACCCGGCTGAGCCTCACTTTGGATATAAGGCCACATGACCCAATCATACCTCTGGGACCTTCTTTCACAATGCTGTCCTCTACTCTCCTGCAGGCTGACATGGCTCCACGCCTGTGTCTAGAACACCCCTCACCTCACCAAGGGCTGGGGCAGACGTGACCTGTGCCCTGGAGGTGGGAGCCACCCAGCTCCCGCTCACTGTCACTGTAACCCGAGCTGGGCCTGCTCTATTTATAACCACTGCACCACTTTGGGGACCTTGTCAGAGGAAGGGCAGGGCCGGCCCATGCCCCCAGGCATAGCCATGTCCTGCTGGGCCTCAGAACCTGATTATGCCCTGGGCTCCCACCTTGTGAGGACCCTGAAGGCCACGCTGGCTGCCGGGGACGGGGGTGCCCTGAGAGAACTGATTCTCACCGTGGAGCCTGTGGACGCTGTGCTGGAGCTGGACAATGACGACTGGATGAAGGAGCCTGCGACCCAGCTGCCACCTGGCGTGCTGCTAGGTAACCAGGTCTCTCGCTCACTGGGAAGGGAGAAGGGCAAGTGTTCAAACAGGCCAATGACTGGCACTTGGATATCAGACCCTTCTTTGTTTATATTCCAACCTAAAGAACAAATAGGTTCTCCAAAGACTCTGAGTTTACTGGCGAGTGGACAGTGGGTAGAACTGTGTGCGTCCCAGGTGGTGAGGAAAGGGGGGACTTCCAGGCAACGACAGAGATGACAGCAGAGGGTACTATTTTGAAAGGCAAGTCCTTGGCTGCAAAAGCCAGGAGTAGGGTGGAGCTCAGCACCACCTCAGGCAGCACCTGCCTATCAGGTTCCACCCCCAGCTGGTTGGACAGGCAGCTGCCGGACAGATGTCCTTGCAGGAGTGTTTTCTTTGTAAGGTCACAGTGGCCTCTGTGCAAAGCAGTGGTTCTGGCAAAGTCTTTGGTGAAGTTGTTGTTACCCAGCATGAGCGCAAGATCCCATCTGGCTTTTATTATGTTTTGTGAGGGTTTGACACAAGCGACTCCATCTTGGCTCCACCTGCACTGTGGCATGTGTGTGTTGCCTAAAGCACAATCCAAAATAATTAAAGGAGAAAAACGAATCCTCGGGTCCCCTTCCCCCTCCACGGTCACACAGTGTCCTCCTCCACTTTCGTCCACACTTGTTCATTTGCATGTGTAAATTTTGCCTACATATAACCATATCATAAGTGTCGCTTTGCTTTCTTTCTTCAGATCTAAAAATCTCCGCAGTATGTTTTCACATTACTACATCGGTTTTCTAATTCTAATCACAAAATACTTCAACCAAATGCTTACGGAGGGGAATATTTGTTTACATTTTTGTTCCCATAAATAATGCTGTAATTAGCATCCTTATGTAATTAGGATTCATATGACGTTCTTCTTATTGGGTTTTATCCATAGGATAAATTCCTGGGAGCAGTATTGCTGGTATGAGAGTATCAAATTCTCTTGAAGTGTATTTCCAAAGTTCACCAACATGAGCACGACTGGTAATGAGAACCCCCAGAAAAATTGTCCCTTGATAAACCCATGCCAGCAAACTCTTTCCTAGAGATATTCCCTCTTGCTTTGAACCCTTACATAACATAGATGTGATCCCTTAGTCATCTTTACTGAAAATCTTTTTCCTGACCTGTGGTTTACTTTTTTTTTTTTGGCAATACTGGAGTTTGAACTCAGAGCCTCAGGCTTGCTAGGCTGGTGCTCTACCACTTGAGCCACTCTGACAGTACTGTTTTGTGTTGGATTTTTCGAGATAGGGTCTTGAGAACTATTTGCACGGGCTGGCTTCAATCTTCCGTCCTCCTCATCTCTGCCTCCTGAGAGCTGGATTACAGGCGATTAACTCTTAATCGCATTCTGCTGTTTTCTAGCGATCAAATGCCCCCGCTATGATGCCAGCCTTGGACGCTGAGGGACACAGGCTCCTCTCCACCCACTAGCCAGCCTTGGGGCACACAGTCACACATGTACACACTGGGGAACAGGACTTTTGATGCATCGTGGTTGGAGCAACCATCCCCACCCTGTGGTTTGGGTGTCTTCCTGAGTTGTCACTCAGGGGATTTAAGCAAGCTGCTTCAGGCTTCAGAGAGCCTGAGTTGCTGTTTCTTCTCTGCCTTGGATTTTCTAATTTCTGGTTCACAGGCCCAGAACCATGACTTCAATCTTGGTACACACCATCTCTCCAGGAGCCAGCCTGGGGATGGAAGAAGGTGGTGATTTGGTCAGAAGTGCTCAATTGTTTTATTTCGCACTTGTTCTCCAGACCCACCCTGTGCCCTCTGGATGAACTACACCCTCTTTGCCCTTGACCCTGGTGGGTGCAGCTAATGGAAGGTGCCAGAAGGAGAAGAATTGGCTGGGTCTGCATCCCCACTGGCCAGAGACCCTCCTGCCAGACAGTTTGACAAATGTCCTTCTGCTGCAGACCCAGCTCTCTCCTCCAGTGCCCACCTCCCTGAAAGTCCTTCAGGTGCAGGGCAAGGAACCTCCGCAGTGCCCTGACACTCACAGATGCTCCTAACCCTGCCACTTTCTTACACCCTACGGCTGTGCCACCCACTTCCTGCTGGGATACGCACTGGAGCAAGCGCCCTCTCTACACTGCTTCCTTCACAAACCTGAAGTTGAGAGTTGTGATCTGGAATCCTCAATTTAAAATGTCCTTTCTTCCACCTTACTCACTGCCCTGCAAAATCTGACTGTCCTTATCCCATTACTGAAACCAGTGACATTTGTGTCGGGAAGTTCTGTTCCCATCCACGATGGATCCATTAGGTTACAGATTGTGGTGGGGGTGAACTTTTCCTGCTTCAGGATGACACGCTGCAGAGGACAGGGCCAATGTGAGGCTGATGACAGGCTGTAGGTGCCATCCTGTCTGGGTTCACTTCAGGACAGTTATACCCCCAAACAGACCAGCATGTGCTCCAAGGCCACGTGCTATATTAACAACCAGCGATTTTACTGCAGAGAAATCAGGCTCCCCACCAGGCAGACTTGCATATGGCGGGGGGCAATGCTGCTCTGGCTGGTCTGAGACAGTAGGGGCTTAAAGAAGAGAAAGAAGGGGTAGGGGAGAGGAGTGGGATAGGAGGCGATAGAAGGTAGTGGCCCAGGGCAAGAAAAGAGAGAAAAAGAGAAGAGAGATAGAGGGGTGTGGCCCAGGCAGCAGGAGAGACCAAAAGATAAGGGAGGAAGGTGGAATATTTGAGAGACTTTATGGGGAGGTCTGGGTGATGGATGCCAGACACTGCCACCAGCACTGTCCACTCTGTGTGTGGCAGTGTGGAGGACACGCAAGGCACCTGTTGAAACTCCCTCCAGGAGCCTGTGCACGGCTGATGTCATCACAAGTAGTTCAGGGTGGTGAGAGATGCTCGGAGTCGAGCTGGGGTTCTGGCACCAAGCAGCTATGTGACCCCAAGAAAGACACTTCCCCTGTCTGGGCCACCGTCTCCATTTACTGACTCGGGTAGGAGGTTAGAGTTGTGGTTGGCAAACAGGTGCTCAGGCTTCCTGAGAAAAGGTCAGGGCAGAAAGAACTTGGACACTTCTGCCCACCCTGCTCTCAGAGGCCAGCAGCATCAGAAAGGCCCAAGCGGTCCAGACAGGCAGGGACCTGAGGGTTGCCACCACACTTGCCTGCATCTTATCTGAAATGGACTTGACTTTCCCATGTTCTGGGGAGTGCGCAGATGCTCTTTAGGACCCCTGGCTTGAGTGGTGGTTAAGTCTCATCCTTCTCCATGCACATCTGAGGCCATCCTGCCAGATGCATGGTCACCGCTGAAATTGGGGGGTTCCTTTTTCTGAATGCGGGAGCAAGTGGACTGTTTCTCCAGTTAAATGCAAGTCCTCAGGGACATCCCTAAAGGAATGAGAGCCGTGGGATTTACATGCCCATGTGGGGTCTTCGTAACGGCTGAAGATGTCAGAATCACAGCAATAGCCTGACTGTATCCCACGTTGGGAGTGGATGCTGTAAAGACTCTAGTCCTGGGGAGGAGGAACGTAAAAGGAAGGAGCCACATAGGAAAAGAGGCTGGACCTGAAGATGGGCAGAGCCAAGGCATCCACCAGCTGGGGAAAACAAGAGTCAAATGTCACATGTACAAAGCACTTTGGGGAAAGAAAAGAGTTTTCCATCACTGACAAGCCCCATTGACAGAACTCTGAGCATTATTTAATAGACAGGAAATTGGGACTGGAAGGTCACCTGTTCACCTTTCTAGTGGGTTTCTAACTCAGATTCCTATGACAGCTAAACACACCCCCAATGACCCCATTGCCTTCCATTGGACCCCACCTCTTAAAGACTCCACCCCACCTAAGATCACACACCAGGGACCAAGCCTTCTGGCAATGAACCTTGGAGGTCACTCCAACTATGTCCACACCATAGCAATGGCCTCCTGAGCGAGTTTTTAATACCCCGTCAAACATTTCAAATTCACATGCACATCCCTGAGGGCAAACAGTTTGCCTAACACTTGCTTTGTCCAGACCCACACAGCGCTCAGCTTGAGAACACTGAACTCAGGGTAGGAAGCCTGACATGGCCAGTCACTCTCCCTCTGACATTGCACTGGGTGTGCACAGAACACACACTTCTACCCACACTATGGGCATTTGTTTTCTGCAAAAAAAAAAAAAAAAGATTCATTCTACCTCCTGCCAAAGCCAGCCATCAACTGTTTAATGTTGATGACAATTGCATTATTTTCCTTGTCTCTTTTTCATTCCAATTGGCACACTAGCCACCAAGATCACAGAGAGGAGAAAGGATGGCTTCTGAAGGGGTGGGGAGACCTGTCTTGCCCCCAAAGCATCGACTGTACAATTTGGTAACTGTGTAATCAAACTACTTAAGAAACAACTGATTACTAATTGCTATTATTAAGGAGTCAGCATTCTATGATTTTGCTGCTGATATACAAAGTCAAGATGCTACTTGAATTACTGATTGAGACAGAAAACTTGCATTTGTTGTGTTTGGGGAAATGATATTTTAAGCATCCGGAGCAAAGTAGAGAAAAACTAATTGAGTTCTATTAAGAGGTCTCACGCAGCGGGATAGGTGGGAACACGTGTGGAACAGCATGGACATATGCACACGTTGAAAATGAGGTCCCTTTGGCAGAATCAGACTTCTCACCGCCAAGCCTGACGCTGGCACCATGACACTAGGGCCACATCCCACCATTCCCCTGGGTCAGAGACACTTCCACACACATGGAGGGGACACGTCGCAGCACAGATGCTTGGGTGTAAGTCAAGTGAGTGCAACTCCTCCTTAGAGGAGTCACCTCCAACCCCATGACGAGAGCGGTACATCCAAGACACGTGGTACGATGGGAAGGCCAAAGGTCTAACAGTCGGGTGACCCAGCTCCACACCACCTGTGTGGCCTTGAACACAAAGTTGAACACAAAGTTGGTGTGGCTCAACTTGCAAACGGGACTAATCTGGTTAGAGAG